ATATGATTTCATGATATTTGTGAAACTGAAAAGAATTCTTTACTTTTTTTTTTTAGAGGTATGCGTAAAAAGACCATGTCAGCAGTAAGTGGGCGGTTTTGGAAATAAGTAGTCCTTCAGTGAAAAAAATTGAACATGATTGTAGTATCGATTTACAACAACTTTGCACTAAACTTCCCATGTGTGGTTTTATTCCTTTTGCTAATAGAACTGCTTTGGTGGACATGAAGAACTTAAAAAGAGTAAGTGATACATGAAGTGACCAGGACACCAAAGAATACTGAAGATAAATGTAAATGTTAGCCGGTATGGCAATGTTAATAACAATTGTGTGATGTGTGTGTTGGAAGTATCTCTAAACATGTGAGAGTGGAATTCAGCCTTTCATTTGGCTGCAGAGTCTAGACATTAGTGTTTGGTGTCCCTGTGGCCAAGGATAGCTATACAGTATACTCCAGTCCATATTCAGGTCATAAGAAGAAATTCCCTTGACCACGCCCACAAATTGGGTAAAACAAACCATCTTCCCCATTGACCCCCATTGAAAAAGAGCCAACTTCTTCGTAGATTTTTAGTTATATACAGACATAAAAAAACGAAAAGCTGCTGTGTTATACAATGTACATCAAACCAGATCAAAAAATCCCAATCTACGGTTTGCAATGCTTCCAAGTAGGGAAATAAAGCCTAGCTTCATGCTATTACTAGGCGTGAGGGGAGTGGGAAATTGTGGGACCCGGTGTCCAAGTACACGTGTGTGCAGAAAACATTTAATCACAGGTAAGACATGTTTAGTACAGTCCGTTTGTTATTCCACTCACTACTTGTAGCTGTATAGTCCATTTGAAGTGTTGTTGGTATTGGCTATATAGCTAGCACTCACTCGGTAGCTAGCGCCGTCATGAAAAACATCAGAAACCGAAAAGATCTGTTCCCCAGCCACTGCCTACAATTATGTAAGTCCTGGATATATCAGGTAGGAGTAGATGTCGGGGAATATGACACTTCTAGCCACTTGGTGGGTTCATTAGTCCAGCTCGTTTCTGGCAGGTTGAAGGGGCAGAACGCTCGGGAGCATGCAATGTTGAAAAGTAATCTTTATATATGTTGTACTTTTCTTACATTTTGTTTTGTAATTTAACTAAAAAAAAACAGACAAGAAAAATTACATTTGAAAAAGGTAAAGTCTTTGCTGTGAGCCAAACGGGTAACCAAGGTAACCACAGGTTGTTTTCCCCCAAGGTGGGCGGGGCCATGACATTCTATCTAATAATGACTGGGAGTATGGCACTGGGTTTCCGGGGTTATTCCCCTGTTCCAGAACATTATGCCAAACATGCAGCAGCATTTACAGTATGTATACAAGTACTTTCACTATTTCTAGTATGTGCACTATTACTAAACCCTTGGTAGCGTTTATGTGAGCTGGTACTCTACCTTCTCAGCCACATATAGAATTGACCTTGGCCTATAGACAGGACCAATGAGTACGTCCAGTGACAGGGGTCAGAGGTTAGGGAGAGTGGTTTGGCGTGAGCAGGGAGGCATGGAACCCCCAGAATGCAGCTCAGGGGTCTTCTCTTCACGCTTTGCTGCATGCAACTTCCAAATATTTTCCCTCCATCATTTTTTACATTTTAGTCATTTAGCAGACGCTCTTATCCAGAGCGACTTACAGTTAGTGAGTGCATACCTTTTCATACTGGCCCCCCGTGGGAAACGAACCCACAACCCTGGCGTTGCAAGCGCCATGCTCTACCACCTGAGCTACACGGGACTATTTCATTATTTGCCATGTTTGGAAATATAATGGTGGAAGTTCTGAATGTCCCTCTATGAACATAACATGGGTTTTCAGCTGCAGCCAGATCAAATTTACTTGATATCTGTAAGATTGATGGACAAATAAATCATCAACCACATTCACACACAATTTCCGAAACCCTGACTTCATTGAATCATACAAACTCCAAATGTGCTTGTTATTTCAGCTAAAGCTACTTCTGTTCTGATGACACAACACAGACACACTGTCTCATTTGTATTGAGAAACAATATAGAGAGTTGGTTGTTTAGCAACAAAACTGACGTGTGCGCAACTATGGGGCAAAACAGACAGGGTTGGCTTAGATTGTTGACTACATGTAAACTATTTTTCGTCTCCAAATGTTTATTGAAAACATAAATATATTTGCACAATGAGCATTCGTTGTCTCTCAAATACATTGTTACATTTGTTGGTTGGTTGGTTAGCTAGCGAATTTTAGCCATATTAACATTGACATGAAATTAGTAATCAAAACAAGACATGATATCAATAACAAGATATAACGAGGTGAAACGAGCCACCTACGATTCCCCACATGGCAACTTCTTGTCATTGTTGCTAGCTATCTGACTGTTCAGAAACATAACAACGCGAGGCTTCCAGACACATTTTCGGGACGTGGTCAGCCAACCCGTCTATCAATATACTTCCCACAAGGGGGCAGTATTGATCACGCCATAACAAAGCAGCTTGCCTAAACTCCCACTCCACAACTCACTTCTCTGAGCTCCAAATCCCTCCATGCATCTCTCACATCTGAGTGCAAGAAGGATCTTGTTAACATGCCTGTTTACTTTAATTACCCTCCAACCACGTCAGTCTCAAACCTAACTGCCTTCTGTTGAACAGACATAGACTTAGATTTATAGGAACACTTGAACACTTAATTGCTGAGAGCCTGAAACCACTGTATGAATTATAACCACCCCCCCACAATGGTTACAGTCTCTCAGCGAAAATAGAGAGAGTGTGTGTGTAACAGAGAATACTACGCAAACGTCAGATGCATTTATAATTATCCTTCATAGATGTGAATTAGCAGTGAATATCTACAATAACTCCCCTGTGCTCTACATAGTGTCTTCTCAGACTCCTGCAAAGTTTCTGGGGATGCTGCCTAGCTCAGCATTTTATATCAAACTCACAACCAAGATGATTGCATCTCCAGCCTAGGAGATGGATGAAGAAATAGCAATCCGAGCATGGATAGAATATAAGTCTCGCTAGCTAAGTCCAAATACAGAAAGGATTATGATGAATGCATGACTGCAGTCCTGTGTTATCTAAAGAAGGGTGAATGTTTGAACTAAACCCTTGTGTGTCTATAAAGCCTTTCTCTAAGAGAAGAGTCGACTATGAACCAAAACTGAGCTGCTCTCACAAAATCCTGCACAAAGATTCTCTGTGGGCTCCAGTTACTCAGACAGAGACAGAGACAGCGCTGCTCCATCCTCCCTCATTATCTTTCAGTGTGTGTGTGTTTGTGTATGTGTTTGTGTGTATGTGTATGTGTATGTGTATGTGTATGTGTGTGTGTCTGTGTTTGTATGTGTGTGTGTGTGTGTGTGTGTGTGTGTGTGTGTGTGTGTGTGTGTGTGTGTGTGTCTGTGTGTGTGTGTGTGTGTGTGTGTGTGTGTGTGTGTGTGTGTGTGTGTGTGTGTGTGTGTGTGTGTGTGTGTGTGTGCGTGCGTGTGTGGGAAATAAAACACTGGCCAGAGTAGACTGCTCTGCTGTAGTCCACAGCTGGAAGTGTGATACGTCGGCGTCAAAGCTATAGCACACAACGCACTCCCTCCTTCCCTCCTCCTGCACAGGAAATTACATTTCCCACATTCTGCCAAGCAGAGGAGTAAAGTGGGGTGGGGTAGTGTGCTAGGGGGAGGGGCGAGGGGGGTGGTTCCAAGCAGAAACAGTGAAAGTCCTGTTTCATATTACACACAAATGCTGTAAAAAAAGAAAAGGGAAGAGGAATCCTGAGCTGAGGCTCTGTTTTTTGGGAGACATTTAGCTGTTTTTTATGGAGCCTGCTGGTCTGGAAAATGAAGATCTCTTCAGTGGTCATACTTCTCCTGACTAGAGCGTTCATTGCCGGTAAGCAACTTTATTTTACTATTTAGGTGGATGGGTTATAAAAGTAAAATTTTATTTTTAGGTCAGTATGTCATGATATGAAATTTGGCAATACTTTGAAATGGTATCTGATGATGAATAGAGAGAGAGAGAGAGCGTGAGAGAGCGCGAGAGAGAGAGAGAGAGAGAGCGAGAGAGAGAGAGCAAGAGAGAGAGCGAGAGAGAGAGAGAGAGAGAGAGAAATAACTATAGTAACATCATAAAAAGATAAAAAGATTGGAAAAACATTTGTTGAAGGGCTTGTCAACTTTTTATTAAACGAGTGATGTTCTGGAAAAAGACACATTCTACATGACATGCATTTGAATCAGTAAATAAACAGTCTGCAGTGAAATAATAAGTTGTTATGACAGGATAATTGCAAGTGTATTATAGTCTTTATTTTTGTGCAATGATGAAAAATAACTGTAAACTGAGAAATTGGTGGTTTCCCTTATTTTTGTTGAAAACATAACATTGCAAGGTTTGTAGTTTGCTTTTGACCCATTTACTGTGTTTTGTGTGACTCTTTCATAAGATGCATCTTAATACTCTAGCTAAATAAATATATCTTACAAAATAGAATTTTCATCTAGAAATGAATAGTTAACTTTCTATATGGTGTTTTCATGGCTTTGTGTGTCACATAAATATGCTTACAACTAGTGGAAAGTTAGGATTATGAAATGACTCTAGGTTGAAAAAACAGATGTTGCTTTTGTCATGCAACAAATTAGGCCAAGGTATGTTCCTTAATATTTCTTCCTCTTAAAATTGACTAAGCTAAACACCACTTTCAGATGACTCACCCACAGACATTAATACAGTAGGAAAGAGATACTGTGTCTAACTGTTGATCAAAATCAAAACAACATATGGATTATCTATGAATCTAGGTCAACATGTCTTCTTCCAACTCCTCCAAGGTCTTCATACACCATCTTAGGCTCTTGATGGCTCTTATACCCTTTGCACACTATGAACCAACCAGAACCCTATGGGTTCAGCTCAATAGTGTAAAAAGGTTTTTGGTGTCATATCTATATCCACATACATATTCTTTATGCGTGTACTATATCTTTCAGAAGTGTGCCAGGCCATCAATGTCACCGTCACCCCCTCTCCCTTCACGGTGGCCCAGGAGGGCGAGAACATCACCCTGACCTGCCAGGTGTCCCAGAGACGCCGCTCCAGCAGCCTGCCCGTGGTCAAATGGACCTTCCTGCCCGAACGTTCTTCCAGCGACAAAGAGCTCCTCATCGCCAGGGTCAACATGAGAAAGGCCAGGTTCTATGGGAACTATACCAAGAGCTTCCCCTGGCCTAAGCTGAAGCTGACAGTGGTCAAGCAAGGGAAGATTTTCGACCTGCTCATTATGAACATCTCAGCGGAGGACCAAGGACTCTACATATGCCGGGTGCAGGAGTTCAAGAAGCACCAGAGCCGATGGAAGGTGTCAACGAACTGCACGGCCGCCACCGAACTTAGAGGTAACTATGAATTTAGGTGTAGCACTGTGTGCAGTAGAAGACAACCGATGCAGGTGGTGGTGGTAGTAGCAGTAGCAGTAGCAGTAGCAGTAGCAGTAACAGTAGTAGTAGAACCAGAAGCAGGAATCACAACTGGCTGACCTAATTTAGGAGTCATCAATCTTGAGGAGGAGGAGATTGTGTCATGTGTAATGAAAGGTCCTGTTTTTTATTGTGGAAGGGAGTTCCATGGTTTTGAACAATCTTGAGAAGAAGCAATACTTCATAGCAATAAGTTACATGGCAGCTAGTGGTTACAGGGCTTTCTTATGCTGGAACGAGAAGATAGAGTATATTTTCTTCTCTGAAGCCAATGTCAGCCCTTCAGTTCTGCCAGTTCGATGCACATAACATTCTGTGAAAGGATCTAAGCAGCATACACAGTAGTGAAGCAGATGTAGCGAAGCAGATGCAATTTCACTTTCTAAGCAATTACTACATTGCTTTGAGTAAATTCAGACTGAACCACTTTTTCCATTTTCCATGGAATCATTTGTGCCGGCAGTGACATTTGACTGTCTGTTCATAGCCAAGTCTGAGCCAGAGCAGACAGACTAGAGCAACACCAGAAGGAAGGGAACACTGGCACCATCACCACCAAACGCATATTGTATTTGGCTACTGCCAGGAGTTTCCCTCCCCTAAGTATTGTACACACATACAATCGTGGCTAGAAGTGAGTGATTTCGAGAGTGAGAGAACAAGAGATATTTGTAGTATGAGGCTCCCCAACGTCAGAGCGTCTATGGTGTCGAGGGGGTTGGTTGAATAGACAACTGTGTAGTAGTGCATATGTAACAGAGATAAGAAGGCTCAATACATGGCCACCTGATGTGTCCAACACTGCAGGAATTCCTTTGGTCTTACGCCATACATCCTACTCTGCCCCAAATCCAGGAATATGGTAGGCTTGGGTATACAACCCAAAATGTCATAGGGTTTGATGGTTTAGGGAAAACAAACTGAAAACAGCATGAAATTAGCCTCTTTCTGGGGTAAACAAAGCACCCCTTTAAACCCTGAGATATTTGGACAACGTGTGTGTGGGCTGGGAGATATTGTGCCTTTTTAAAAGGTACGTAGAATGGTGGTGAAACGGATGTGGTTTGGGTTCAAGTATAGGAGCATCAAGGTACTCTAGTACACTGGGTCCTCCGTGGTCAGGGTTTAAAATGGGCAAGTGTAAAAACAGAGCTCCAAGAATGAGGCCACCATTACTTTTTCACGGGCCTCGCATTGAGAAAGAGCGTGATGAATAGAGGGCAAAGAGAAGTGAAGAAAGAGGATGTGAAAATGACATTTTGAAGGTGTTTGTGATGAAGATTGTATGGATTATCACTACATACTAGTATTCAATTTTATATATTTTTCTTTAAGTTTCATTAATACTCGGAAGTAGCCCAAAGTTACCCATGGAATTTGTCCATTGATTGTGGAATACAGAATTTATCCCTTTTTAAACAGAATACAGATCTGTCTTAGGGATGCTATCCATTCGATATGTGTGCTCTGTGCTATCACAGTGAGGATATACGAGAGACCTCCTATCAAAAAGAAAGGGAGAGCACATATGAATGGAATCAATTGAACAGTGAGTGAATTTAGTTGAATGTTTCCACTGCCATTCAAAACCAGCCATAAATGGATGACATTTTCAAAGACACTTCTTTGGCTCCATGCAGTGCTGTAGCTTTATATTATTCATATTATTCCAGCATGTGCAGCTGGCCTTCTGGCGCTGTGCATAATGTCCTATTCAAGTCATACTGTATGAATCATGGTAAAGAAGAGTCTTCTGCACCACAATACTGAATGCTTAATTTTTGAACAAAAAATGCATGACCAAGAGTTGCTTTACCTGGAATGATATAGGAACGTGCTAAAGATTTGTGACATATATTTACAGCAAGTACATACTTGGCAAACACAACTAGAGAAAATCCAGAGCCAAGTCTCACAGCTAGCTCTCATCTATGTCAGACTAATGTTTCCAAATAGTTGAATGTGGGTCATACATATGGTTGGCCCAGTCATTGAAAGTGCTGGTGGTTTAGCATAGAGGGAAATGCTCTAGAGGTAACCCCAGTTTAAGCCCTCTGGACAGGCAGACACTCAGCCAGGCTTCAGCCCAGTAGCTCTGGCGGCTAGCTAAGCTAAGTATGGCTGCTGTGGGAGGGAGAGGCTAGCCTGGCTGTCGTCAGCTGCTGGCGGTTTGGGGTATTTCAGGATGGCTTGGTGGGTGTTAGCCACCACGAGCCAGTGATTCAGGAAGTGGATCCAGAGGAGAGGACAGCATCAATACTGTCATCCTATGCCAACCCACCTACAATTAGAGGTTTTTAAACTGGGTACACTGTATAAATAGGTGGGACGGTAGCCACATTGATGACTATGGACTTCCCTTTTTTCCTTACAGTGCATGTCCAACCAGCGACCAAGGCCAAGGAGAGTCTGTGGAGTCTGTTTGAAGGTAAGAACGTGACTCTGGTGCTCTGCATTGTCCTTGACTAAAATAGCACAACCACACGAAGCATGCCATAAATGGTGGACATGGATATTTTAAGGATATTTCTAAACAAGTGACTAACAACAGAAACATGGGTCTTCAGGGTAGCACGCCTTCTTACTTGAAGGATGACTAATCTGGTTGGTTTTGTGGTTTTGTGTGTTTCAGACTTGTACCTGTGCGCTGTGCTGATCTGCTCTGTGGGACTGGTGTGCATGTGTATGTTCACCGTGGTGGTGACCTGCCAATATGTACAGAGGAAGAAGAGGTTAAAAGGTGAGTAAACACACCATGAAATAACTCATCTGGGCCACATTAACAGATCATTTAAAGCGAATGGACAAGGCAAGCTGAACTCTGTTTTTGCTGACATGGCAGAATGTTTTTCCCCATCATGCACCAATGTTTCGTCTCATTGTCTTATAGACAACTACCACTTGGTCAAGAGCCCTCAGAACAGGTAGGCTTCTTTATAATTCAAATCAAATGTGAGCTTTACTGCAGATACTATGGTAGCCTAGACACAGTATCTTATCTGCCATAGATGTGATATGAATTCTCCTGACCTAATTCTGCTATAAACATCTCTGTCTGCTGTCTGCAGTTCAGGGGAGACGGTGACCAGTCTAGTCAGTGTGTCTCCTGCCCTGCCCAAAAAGCAGAGGAGGTACAGGAGGAAACGGAGCAAAGAGCAGTCCGAGATACCACCAGAAATACCAGCTAAAGGTAAACAGAACATCCATCACATCTGTACCATATTTTCACATAGGGAAACTTAGAAGACTATCTTCATACCCACAGTTGGGTATGTGGCCTGAGGGAGGGAGTGTGGTTAACGTGGCCATCATAGAGGAGTTTACTGAACACTGTGTCTGATTCCTGATATTAGATTCCTGATATTGCTTCTACTTGCTAATATCACGCTGTACCTTTAGAGTATATATATGGATCTACACTATACTGTATATGCTGGCATAGATAAACTGGCCAAAGAGCGAAGCAAATTCTCTATCACTCTGTGATATCACAGTTTGTTACCAGAAATAGTGCTAGGTTTATGGTCAACTTAGCATGCAAGAGTACAGATTCTAAGAAAGTAACATTTGTTCTTGATGATAATATTTTGGTTCACCCTTGAGATTAATAGGTTTGGCAGAGTTTTAACGTGATTTGTCTGTCTCACAAGCAGTTCATGTCATGTCGTAGTAGTCTGAATGCCTACACTTCAAGCATTTTATGTATTGTGACAGATCAGCTTGTCCGAAACACCCTAACACAGGTGGGAGACATGAAATGAACAGACCGGAGGCAGTGGTTGTGGTTCCTTTGCTTTTGTGTTGTCAATAAATAGATTTTTCTTTCACCTGACAAAATGATTCCAGTACTGGGTAGCGTCCACCTCTGAAACAACAGCGAAAAAAATTAATAAAAAATTAACTAAGAAGTTGACCTAAAGACCGTGGCCAAACAGGGAAAACAACGAAAGGCTTCACCCGTCTTTAGACTATCGTCTACACATAACATTTACAGGGGGAACACTTCTCTCTACCTATAGCCTGCCTTGCTTAACCGAGAGCCAAGGTGCATCAGGAAAAGCCGCTTTCTCTGAGGTAGGCGAGTACGCCACCATCATCACAGGTCCCCGTGTATGCTCCCCCACCTCAAGCTCATCTCCTGGCACACCTTTATAGAGGGAGACACAAAGCAATTAGTGGGCCCAGCTGCGTACTAATTGGCTTTACACTGAGTACCTATCCCCTGAGGAGGGTGCTGTTGTGTCGTCTTCCTCCGGCCGGTCACTGAACTCTCACAGTATGTTCAACTCTGCTTTGATGTCTGCTTCCAAATCATCACTAATCAATGACAAGAGAGGCATGTAAACATTGTGGACGGAGACAATTGTGGTTCTGGGTTTTGGTTTAAGGGGGAACATTTGTCTTGTTACACAGACAAAGTGTTCCCTCTCTGCATACAGTATAATGATAATTTAATTCTTCCACAGCACCCATTGCAGACAAAATCCGAAAACCCAAACTTTTAAAGGCACAGCCGAGGAAGGTGGTCTTGGTAAGTCTCCTGATTCTTACATAGAATTTGTTAGGTACATTATTTCTGTAGAGGGCTGTCCAGAAATCTAACATTTTCCTTCAAGTTGTTTTACTTTAAGTATTTACTTTATTTGATTTGTATGCATATGTGACTGTTATCCCAAGGTAATTTTGTCCAGAATCATATTGTAATAGACCCAACATGAATATCTCAATTTACGAGTATGGTCTTCACTCGCTTCCTTTTCTTCTTGTCCCTTGCAGCCGAAGATTGCAGAGGAGAGCCTGACATATGCAGAGCTGGAGCTGGTCAGGCCTCTGCCGGACAACAAAGCCTTGTGCACAGGCACTGTGTACGCTGAGATCCTCTTTAAGGAGAGGCAAGTGTGAGAAACACACCACTAATAACTTTAGACTGTAGCTCATGTACATGTTATATTTATGATCAGTATTATTGTTTTATATTGTGTATTTCAGTCAATGGTTGGAAAGTAGTTTCTTTACAAAGCCCAAATGAGATGAGATACAAATGTGTTTTATATACTGAAATGTTGAATTTTTATTTTACATAAGACATTTGATATTCTTATTTTTTTATATGTTCAACCCAAATGCCTTCTCCCCCAAAACATCTGCATGATGTCTGTTATGTTCTGCTATGTAATTACTGCAGTACTGCAGCTGCAAAGGTTGACATTAAGGCAACAATTAGCCACCTGCCCTAAGGAGATACGTTTGTGTTATCACGCCAGCGCTTTCAACTGGTGCCAAAGTCAACGGGCTCTTGGGACACACTGTACCCAGAGCTGTGATCAGCTGTGATGGACCAGTTTAACTGGCTGCAAACTAAAGGCCTTGTTTGGTTTGACTTGTTTATAGAACCAGCGTATACCTCTCACCTTATGATTACATAGCAGATCATTAATTAAGGTTGTTTTGTATGTAGTTTTTATAAGAACTACGCCAATGACCAAATGTCAATATAGGTACAGCTGATATTTTGTCTTCTGGTTTTTACTTTTCCGTGAATTTAAGTGTGTGTAAAAATGCTCAGACAATGTATTTCCCTGTTTAATGACCCCTTGGATTTAACTATGGAAAAGCGAGCAAAACACCAGGATTTTCTTTCTCCCCCAGTGAACTTGAAACGCCAGACATTCAGGCACCATAACCATCCCCTCCCCCATCTCTCTCTCTCTATCATACATGAAGATCTATACATCGATAATCCCCAGAGTGGGATTGTGCATTGAGACGATTCCATGTAGGAAAAACCAATCCTTCCCACATACATTGACCACAACGAACTCTAAATCTATCTACACAAATCTACACAATGACTCAAAGTAAACTTCCTGGGGTGAGAGAAATTTCTTAAAACCTTTTTAAACTGTGAAAAAATGAAAGTCTCCTCCAAACCACATTGGACTTAATGGGAGGCCATTGCATGGACCACTAACTACAACCATATGTGAACGCTGAACTCTGCACTTTCCTCTGCACTTTTCCTCTGCTGTTTGTTTCAAGCAGAGAGTGCTGTCCTCCGCACCCATCAACATTCCTCTCCATTCCATTTGGAGCTCCTCTGTTGTTGTTTTTTTTTTTCATTTGAACTGACATATGAGTGTTTGTGTATGTAATGTATCATATGTACCATGTGCTGTATAAACATAAAGCGGATATGTATGGTTAGTGGTTATGTATGGTCAGTGTGTTTTCCTTGTGCTTTCTTCCAAACCTCCATAGGATATCACATCAGTGAAAAGTAAATTATAATTCATGACATGTTATCAGGAAAAAGGAAAATAAACAAGTAGGAGTAGAAGACAAAATAGAGATGTTGTGGTTTGAACATACCTCCATGTTTACTTAATTTGGGGAAATGGAGGGTGGGGTAAGGAGAGAGAGAGAGAGAGAGAGAGAGAGAGAGAGAGAGAGAGAGAGAGAGAGAGAGAGAGAGAGAGACTAAATGAGAGTAGTGTGACAGGTTGCCAGAGGGAGCATAGGTAGTGACTTTAAATACACCTAAAAAAAGACAACTGTCTGCCTCCCTGGTCTGCACTCATATTAAACTATTGAAATAATTTAATAAAGGAAAACAAAACATGGTCAAATCTCAAGTCTCCAGACATGATAACGTTTCTGAATTGCAGTGCACAGTAAACATAGTGTAGATCAGGGGTCTACCAGTTGCTCGCAGCCTACCTATGAATAGATCGCCAAACAATTTTGAAAGTTCATGCAATTTGACAAGTATCAGACACTGCAAGCTCCCAGCTACTATCTAATCAACACAGCATTGACATTATCCCACCCCTGGTTAGCCACTATTGGCTCAATAAGCCAAACCTAACACAATATCTGCCAATTAATTTCCAGCAATATCGCCCCTGTCTGTCTGTGTGGTGTGCACATTTGTCTATCACTCTGTGTGTAGCCAGTTGATGTGATATTCATCTTGTGGGTTGACAGAAAGACTTTCCCCAAAACCTTCTCAATTAAATGTTAACTGCAAAGTAGGCTTACCTGGCAGAAGTGTATATCATGAGTAAGTATATCATTTGTATCTATTATTTGTTATTTGCTAACTTTGCAATGAAATGAGCAGCAGCAGTACAGAACCATCACTTGACCGGCACATTAGACAGCACATTCCTCACTTGCTAGATGCACAATTAAAGGGCCAGATGCGCTACTAAAGGGGAATTACACTCAAAAAGAAATGTGTTAGTCTCATCCAGACCTAAATAAAATTGTCTTCTGATGGGATTTCATATTTTACTGCAGTGTGCTAAATAAGGGTCTTACAGTGTTTCTTTGTAGTCTTGAACAAATCAACTTTGAAACAAAAGTATACACCTCACACACATGGTTATGATCTTAAAAAACAGAAGACACCTGTACCATGTCAGATATAGAGTTGAAATGTATTCAATTTGGAGTTTGCATCCCAATATTACACTTTATATACATCACAGAAGACTGAAACATACAGTTGAAGTCGGAAGTTTACATACACTTAGGTTGGAGTCATTAAAACTTGTTTTTCAACCACTCCACACATTTCTTGTTAACAAACTATAGTTTTAGCAAGTCGGTTAGGACATCTACTTAGTGCATGACACAAGTAATTTCACCAACAATTGTTTACAGACAGATTATTTCACTTATAATTCACTGTATCACAATTCCACTGGGTCAGAAGTTTACATACACTAAGTTGAGTGTGCCTTTAAACAGCTTGGAAAATTCCAGAAAATTATGTCATGGCTTTAGAAGCTTCTGATAGGCTAATTGACATCATTTGAGTCAATTGGAGGTGTACCTGTGGATGTATTTCAAGGCCTACCTTCAAACTCAGTGCCTCTTTGCTTGATGTCATGGGAAAATCCAAAGAAATCAGCCAAGACCTCAGAAAAAAAATTGTAGACCTCCACAAGTCTGGTTCATCCTTGGGAGAAATATCCAAATGCCTGAAGGTACCATGTTCATCTGTACAAACAATAGTACGCAAGTATAAACACTATGGGACCACGCAGCAGTCATACCGCTCAGGAAGGAGCCACATTCTGTCTCCTAAAGATAAACGCACTTTGGTGCGAAAAGTGCAAATCAATCCCAGAACAGCAGCAAAGGACCTTGTGAACATGCTGGAGGAAACAGGTACAAAAGTATCTATATCCACAGTAAAACGAGTCCTGTATCGACATAACCTGAAAGGCAGCTCAGCAAAGAAGAAGTCACTGCTCCAAAACTGCCATAAAAAAGCCAGACTACGGTTTGCAACTGCACATGGGGACAAAGATCATACTTTTTGGAGAAAGGTCTGATGAAACAAAAATAGAACTGTTTGGCCATAAAGACCATCGTAATATTTGGATGAAAAAGGGGGTTGCTTGCAAGCTGAAGAACACCATCCCAACCGTGAAGCACGGGGGTAGCAGCATCATGCTGTGGGGGTGCTTTGCTGCAGGAGGGACTGGTGCACTTCACAAAATAGATGGCATCATGAGGAAGGAAAATTATGTGGATATCTTGAAGCAACATCACAAGACATCAGTCAGGAAGTTAAATGTTGGTTGCAAATGGGTCTTCCAAATGGACAATGACCCCAAGCATACTTCCAAAGTTGTGGCAAAATGGCTTAAGGACAACAAAGTCAAGGTATTGGAGTGTCCATCACAAAGCCCTGACCTCAATCCTATAGACAATTTGTGGGCAGAACTGAAAAAGTGTGTGTGAGCAGGGAGGCCTACAAACCTGACTCAGTTACACCAGTTCTGTTTTAAAGGAATGGGCCAAAATTCACCCAACATATTGTGGGAAGCTTGTGGAAGGCTACCCGAAACGTTTGACCCAAGTTAAACAATTTAAAGGCAATGCTAGCAAATACTAATTTAGTGTATGTAAACTTCTGACCCACTGGGAATGTGATGAAAGAAATAAAAGCTGAAATAAATAATTCTCTCTACTATTATTTTTGACATTTCACATTCTTAAAATAAAGTGGTGATCCTAACTGACCTAAAACAGGTAATTTTTACTAGGATTAAATGTCAGGAATTTTGAAATACTGAGTTTAAATGTATTTGGCTAAGGTGTATGTAAACTTCCGACTTCAACTGTAGAAAAACTGGATTTTCAGGCAGTAAAAAAAAAAAAAATGTTTATTGATTATGAAATTATGAAAAATATTAATAACATTCCACCAATGAAGCCACTAGAAGGCAATTTAGTCATTGACTTGGACTCAGAACATCCAATTGCATTGGTTCTCTATGAACAATATTACATTTGAGACTGAAAAATAAAATAGAAATCTAAAACCAGGAAAAATAAAACTGAGAAAACATAATTTGGGAAAATGTAAAACAGAAAACATAGTGCACTACTTTCTCTTGCACACTAAGGACCTGGGGAAGAGTTGCAGGGGACAAGAGAAGAAGAATATGCCTATCAGAATGCTAGAAAAAAATTAGTAGCTCCAAGTTTTCTTGAGTTGCTCTCATGCTAGAAAATGTTGGAGACCCCTTGTGTAGATGTTATCTATGTATCATGTGTGGTTAGAGAAATTGCTACCGGAGATGTCTGACATCTGATAATGGAGCCAAAGGGGATGGCTGTCATTTTACAGGCTCCTAACCAATTGTGCTATTCTGTGTGTTTTTTTGTGTTGTTTGTAACTTTTTTTGTACATAATGTTTCTGGCACAGTCTCTTATGACCGAAAAGAGCTTCTGGACATCAGAACAGCGTTTACCCACCACGGACTGGACAAAGAATTACGTCTCCTCCCGGACCAGGCCCAAATCCCCGTCATTCACATGAAGAGGAGACGCAGATACAGGGGCCGCAGATCCGGGTGCTTGGTGAAAATATGTCGGTGAGTGGTTAATCCGCCTTTACCATCCATCCTACTGGCGAACGCACAATCACTGGAGAATAAACTGGATGAGCTCCGTTCGAGACTATCCTACCAACGGGACATTAAAAACTGTAATATCTTATGTTTTGCAGAGTCATGGCTGAACGAGGACATGGATAATATACAGTTGCCTGGATTTTTTTTTTCTGTGCATCGGCAAGAGAGGACAGCAACCTCCGGTAAGACGAGGGGTGGTGGTCTGTGTCTATTTGTCAATAACAGCTGGTGCACGATCTCTAATATTAAGGAAGTCTCTAGGTTTTGCTCGCCTGAGGTAGAGTATCTCATGATAAGCTGTATACCACACAATTTACCAAGAAAGTTTTCATCTATATTTTTCATAGCTGTCTTTTTAACACCACAAACCGATTCAGGGACTAAGACCGCACTCAATGAAATGTATAAGGCCATAAACAAACAAGAGAATGCTCACCCAAAAGCGGCAATCCTAATGGCCGGGGACTTTAATGCAGGAAAACTTAAATCCTTTTTACCTCATTTCTACCAGCATGTCACATGTGCAACCAGAGGGGAAAAATTCTAGATCACCTTTGCTCCACACACAGAGACACGTACAAAGCTCTCCCTCGCCCTCCATATGGCAAATCTGACCGTAATTCTGTCCTCCTGATTCCTGCTTACAATAAAAAACTCAAGCAGGAAGTACCAGTGAATATGTTCCGGGATTCGTCCAATGGCATTGAGGAGTATCCCACATCAGTTACCGGCTTCATCAATAAGTGCATCGACGACATCGTCCCCACAGTGAGTGTACGTACATATCCCAACCAGAAGCCATGGATTACAGACAACATCCACACTGAGCTAAAGGCTGGAGCTGCTGCTTTCAAGGAGCGGGACACTAATCCGGACGCTTATAAGAAATCCCGCTATGCCCTCTGACAAACCATCAAACAGGCGCAAAGCATCAATACAGGACTAAGATTGAATCCTACTACACCGGCTCTGACGCTCGTCGGATGTGGCAGGGCTTGCAAAATATCACGGATTACAAAGGGCAGCCGTGAGCTGCCCAGTGACGCAAGCCTACCAGATGAGCTAAATGCCTTCTATGCTCACTTCGAGGCATGCAACACTGAACCATGCATGAGTGCACCAGCTGTTCTGGACGACTGTGTGATAACGCTCTCCGTAGCCGATGTGAGTAAGACCTTTAAACAGGTCAACATTCATAAGGCCGCAGTGCCAGATGGATCACCAGGATGTGTACTCATGTGCTGACCAACTGGCAAGTGTCTTCACTGACATTTTCAACCACTCCCTGACCAAGTCTGTAATACCTACATGTTTCAAGCA